TCTTATAGTTAGAAGGTTCCCAAGCAATGCATAATGTAAAATTCACTTGCTTTTGTGTTACCCTATCAGACAGCACTTAACTTAGCCCTAAATTATCGATGACGAAGTCTTGTAAATAAGTAGTAGTCCAAAACAATGTTTGCGTTGCCTGATTGAGCAAAAGCCAAACGGATGTAGATGACAGACATAATTAGATTCAAGAGGTCGGGCTTTACAGATGTTAACGAGAGCTATGGAACATCTCATTACGGCATAAAACATCGTGACCGCTCTCCTGAAGTTTCTACCAAGCACAAGCCTTTAGTGACGTAGCTGAGGCGTTATGAACTGAAATGAGTCATGTCGCTGTGGACGCTATCAACAGGAAAACCTCAGCTGGTCTCATTTGCAATTCTTCTAGTCATTTAATTTCTAGTCTCAGACTGTGCTGCATTCAGCCATCCATAAGCTGGGTCAGGGGTTCTGAAACCGTGGTCAGTCGACGTAATTTACATTTTGAAATATTATATAATCCGGTATAATTACCGCTCAAATTAAAAATTTAATTTTAAATGCGTTTTAATACAACTTACAAATCGACAAGTTTTAAATAATAGTATTGACAACGCTGTGCAAACTCAACTGCAATAGAAAGTTACGAGCACCTTTAACATACTGTCATCACGTTTCAAAAAAAATTGTGAACTATAATCCAGCGTCCCGTGAGATGACACAACATTGTCATCGTTTTCCCATGGTTGTGTTACTACACTCAGCATCGTGGACATGGTTCTTTTCATACCTCTAGTTCAACCGTCCTCGGCAGCAGAACTATGCTGTTTGGTTATACTTCAGCTAAAAGCCGCATCTCACGACAACCAAACTCGTCCATAACCATCTTCCAAGACGCTCGTAAGCACGAACTTCCTGTAGAATAGGTCACTCCCTCGGGATGCAACAGACTGATGGATCATCGATTGATGGACGGCCGGGTGGTCAGGTAAACAGATAACGCTTTTCGTGAACATGTTTCAAGTTGATGGACTGTTTATCACTTTCGCATATTAATCGGAAGACTTTCCTATCACATTATACTAGTAGCAGCCACCTGCTGAATAGCTTAAACGTGCGAAATCATCTGATGTCCAGCGCATACAAGTTGAAGCAAGCACTAAAGAGTACAATCGACGCAGAACAACTGGGAACTTCAACTACATCACTGAAAGTGTGGAAGTCAAGTTGGAAAGGGGAAGGATTCTGTCTGAGCATGTACAGTGTAACTGAAAACATTTCCCCCCATTAAATTTCGACAAAATCTTTGGCATTTTAATGCACTGACTTTTACACAAAATTGTATTTTTTGAACGAAAGGAACTATAAAATAATATCAATGCAGGTATTGTCGTCTTGTACAGCCTAAACGTAATAATTTCACAATCGTTAGTATACAGTGAGGGACTGATTTGTGCCATCGCTTCGTGATCTTCTCCACTCCCTCACTAGTGTGTATTTGTAACGGTCATCCACGCTCAGAGTTACGTGGCGGCCACCGCACGCCCGTGGGCTACGTTTTCGCATCTCGGCGATTCACTTATTCCGGACATGGAATTGAAAAGAACAGCTTAGCCAATTTTTCAGTTGGTGAAAATGTGTTTTCACTTTGATGATCCGTAATGTATCGATGTCAGTAAAATAAAGTGGTCTGTGTTAGTTCTAGGGCAATTCTTTGGAAACCTTTCTGCATTTTTCATCTTTTGAAAATGAAAATATGCAGACTGGATTTTCGATTTGTCTAGGTAGTCACTAATAACACCTTATATAGACCTACAGACTTTAGAGAATTACTTCAGACTCCTCGTCATCAACACTAACATTTCGCTGACACATACCAAAACGCAGCGCCTGCATTCTAGGCAGACCGACCAACACATTATGATGGTTGAATAATAAGGAGAACTGGAGGAGTGTGACATGTAATATTATGACCTGACATTGCGAGATGTGTTACCAACAGACAATGACTAGCACTTTTTGGACAGAATCAGACAGAAATGATCACCTTATTACGCTAAAGGACATGTTACTTCATACAAAATGACGCAAGAGATGTAAAATAAATTAGTGTGAAAATCTCCGGTTACCGATTTCGAATCAAAGAATTCCCTTGCTGTGAATTCCCCCGTCTCGTCTTCTTATTATTGTCCGATCTCAACCCAAACTGGAATCTGATTAAAATTTTCAAAAAAATTCCCCAATATAAAATTTCTTCGAAAATCTGTCAGCCGTTCTCAATTTTGAAAGACGCACCGCCGTGAAAACCTCGGATCCTACGTTCTCGAGTTGTTGCATGCGTACAGACGGACAGATAATGAAATTTTATTAAGGCAACTGGTAAGACTCGCGATCCCAGTATTCGAGTTATTTATGACCGCGTGGTCACTGTGACTGGGTTAACTTGTGTTCGTATTCAAGTGAAGCGGGAGAAGACGCGAGCAGAACGTGTACTCATTCTCGAACATGATTTCGTTTCCTACTGTGTGAAGCACTTATCAATGCATATCCTGTTAAGGAAGCAGACCTGCTCAATAAGACAACAATGCTCCTACTCGTAACAACATTTCGGGACATAGGAACGTATGTCTGTGGCAAACTCGCATTGCGCGACACAACAGCTGAAATTACAGCCATACCGATTTCAAATAATGCATCAGCTGCGACAACGGAATCCAGCTGCAAGAATTCGATATTGCCACCGGTTTAATTATTTTATGCGTGAAGGGGTTCATGCGTAATGACTCAGGTTGTATTTTGAATGGATCGTCTGGTATGTGAAAGACGGAATAACAGGTTTTTTTCACAAATAAATGAGAAAATGGGAATGGAGCGCGCTTCCAATGTACTCGGCTGCTGCAAACTGTACTATCGACTAAGCCATCGCTTCATGCAATGCAAACTCCGTAACATTCCAACAGAGAGCAGTAGTACCCTATATTATTTTAAAGAAGCGATTAGCAAGTACGGCCATAATTTTTCAAGAACACCCCGTTTTGTAATGAACAACGCAAAACGAGAACCAGATTTAGGATGTTACAGCATCTAATTCCATTCTTGGGGTTCTTTTTCAGCACGCTATAAATAATACGGCACACTCCTGATTAACATTCCGTTTTATCCGACGCAGCGTGTCGGAACACTCCATTTTGTCAACAGTCAAATGAGCATTTAGTGAAATGAATCATACTCCCACAACGCACCTTCTGCATTTATGTACTCAGTTGCTACAGATGTACTACTTTTTAGGCGCTGGCATATTTGACCTTGACGCAAAGTAAAGGAATGAGGCTCCGAAGCAAATACCCATTAGTAATGCTAAAAGATAGACTTTCATGAACAAACTTACATTACGTTACATTATATTTATGTTTAAGACGCACTTCTTCCCTTTTTAAAATTTCTTAAATAGGGCGCGTCTTACATTTGATTGTGTCTAACAATAGATATAACATTACTTCCTCCCAAAAACATATCAAGGATGCGTATCACAATCTATGGCGTCTTAAAATCAAGGAAATACGGTATTTCTGTTTCAGATTTATTTCATTTGATGTCGTATAATATTTTCTTTGAAATTTAATAATTACGTAAATCGAGTTATAAATTGAGTGTATTTACCCTATTTTCTTAGACTTACACATTATCTGACATTTTCGATTACCCAACCGTACTTCCACCCCGTTTAGGTTGGATAATCTGGATTCTACTGAATGTGAAATTTTCATGCCATGATACATTGTGCTTACCCAGCAAAGTAACTGGCTACGAGGTGTACTGTCATCATCCGATTCCAAGTAGTAATAGGGCTTCTCTTCCATCCCACTTGCAGACCCGCCTTCTATTCAATGGTTATCGGGTGTACAGCGGCCGGGACTTGACGCATTCATGGCGCGGTGTGTATGCACAAATGCAACTTTATCTTTACTTGTATTTACCACTGTAATAGTCAGGCACACTAAGTTAGCAACTCCGGCATTTCGGCCTGTGATTTCACGTTTGAACACAATCTCGGAAAAACCGCGAACACTACTAGGCGGACCCGGAACTCGGTGCTGCTATCGTGGTAATTACAGGAACAACAATAAACAATCGAACACAATCTGTACTATAAGAAATGAAGGTGCAAAATGGCTGCTTTAATTCATAAGCTGTTTCTTCTTGCAGGATTATTGTCTTTGTTTCATGCTGCATATTCAGCTGCCCAACGTAAGCAAAGTGGGAATATACTATATAATAAAACAAATATGTTTACAAGTTTAGTATACAATTTTTTGTTCTTCACCAAACATTGTCGTCTTAACCTCATTTTATAGCTTTCTGACTAAGGGCAAGATAGGAAACAATTACTCCTTGTATTTGTTTTACAGATCGGTCGTACCTGAGGATTACAGAACAGAAATTTGTTTCTTTACCAATTGATGTGAGTACTGCATCCATTTCATTGTCATCCACATAAGTGTCATTTGCTAGAGGAGGCTGCAGGCTTCTCAGTATTTCTGGAATCACAAATCGGAAGTCTTCATGTATACATGTAACTTAGCTGCCTGTATAGATTAAATGACCAACAGTTTATATTTGGCCCATGATTTCATGCATAAACTCTTAGGAACTCGTGGTTGTGCCTAGTGTATGCCCATTTTGGATTACTTTGGTTGTGTTATTTAGTTTAGGATTGTTTAAATGGAGTAAGTCTTGGAATAACGAGTCACCATTTACATGTTTGTCCGTTGCTGACTGTCAGATATCTCATTAACTGTAACATGGATTTCTCAATTTAGTATTACAATTGCTGCATCATATCTGTGTTTTGTATTTCTCTGGTTATTCTCGCAGTCTCCTTCTCAGTCAGACATTGGTAGTGCTGTAGCTTTAGGCATATGCTTTATGTATCTCGGATATTAATTTGCTTTTCTTTCTGTGAATGTGGAATATAGTTACAAACTCAAATACTAATTCATTGATACTTTAATGTATGCTGCAATATGAAAGCATGCATTTTTCACTATCTATATCTGTAAACCTTCCTTATATAGAGACTTGTAAAACTTTTCAGATTCTGACACAAGGCATAGTGAGTCTTTTTGTGGCAATGTATGGGATCATGCATATTGCTGGAGACTTCAAGGAAATAAGAGCAACAGTAGATTTGGAAAATAAGTCATGGGAAACTGTAAGGAACATCCCTTCTTTCTATGTATTCAACCACAGGGGCAAAGCTTTGTCTCCAAACTACGTTCCACCTGTACAAAAATCATCTTTGGAGGAAATTCACTCATAGCATTTGTTTCTTACTGATGGACGTGTGAATGTACAGTGTGTTGACGGGACTGTTACATTAAGTTTGGAAAAGAGATTTCTACACAAAGTTGATACTTTTAACAAGTCATTGCTTGCATTAAATTTTCAAGCAGTCTATTAACTGTCATTTGTTCTGTGTAAAGTATAAGGACATATTGTCTCATTTGTTTTTTCAAATGTATTTAGTACCTTGTTAATTGAAAATCATATTTTGAATGTGTATAACTGAAAGCAACATCATGCTTTCATATATACTTCATTTTATTTATTTTCCCACAGAAATTATACAGACTTCACACTGCACCTTTCTTTCTGTTTTCTTACACAGGTCTTAGGCACCTTGCTGTATATCTTGTTAAGCTACTGAATGTTCAGTAGCAATTTTCACAGAATTGTGAATGTATTTTTATGATTTACTGTTACGTAAAACAAAGATTGTGGACATTAACAGCATTTCGAAATATAATGTGATAATGAGTAAATACAAAACATTATTTCAAAAACATTTTGGTACAAAGGTTCCCAATCATTGGTTTGCAGACTAGCAGATCCCAAATTTTGTTGATCACAATTTTTTTTAGAAAACATTAGAAAATTATAATCTAGATTGAAATAATCTTTGTATTTATTAATGTAAATTATTACTATAGGAACAGTGAACATTTGTAATATTCATATATTTTAAAGGTTTCAGTCTACACTTTGAACAAAGAAATGTCACCATTGGTTATTTACCATCAATTATAAAGCACTGGAGACACAGATGTACAGTTCTTAGTTACTTGACCAAACTTGATTGTTACCTTGACAAAGTTTTTGTCTACAGGTAAAAATCAAAGAAAAAAGATACTCAGCGTGTGATACCAATTAGTTTTTAGTTACAGGAAAAAATGTTGGCCACCATGGCAGAGGTTCTCAGTCTATAGGTTCAGATTAAAAGAAAAAAGTATCTTCACCATGTAATGCCAGTTTTGCTAATTTGCATGTTCAGTAAATTAGGGAACTACTTCTGATGGCCTTGGATTATGCTTTTGAATTAGTTAAGTAAAAGTAAATATTTGCTGTACTTTTGTTACACCACCAATTAAAGGAATTATAACAATAAGTGTTAACATTAAACTGTTTTGTTATGAACTGTGGTTATTCTAATTGCAAGGAATAATTTTGTTGTGTGCTGTGGTAATAAATAGTATATTCCAGTGTGTTACTCTTCTGTTTTATTCATATAGTTTCCCTCACATAACTGCTCCAAAAGAAAACAGTATTTTGCACTTCTTCAATATCATGGAATAGGGGATTTGAACCATGGTGCATGGCTGATTCTGTTATGTCTGTATGACTTAGTGTATGTGAAGACAGTTATCAGATGGATTATGAGCGAGGTTACTTGCATTTCCAGTATGGTAAATAAAACGTGAAGATATTATAAGAAAATAAGTTTTTCTTCCATGCAGAAGAATGTTACATTCCTGGAAAATATTCTATGTATTACTTTAAGTCAGTGGGGAAGGAGATCATCTTCCTTTTGTCTGTGAGGGGAGCTGGCAGGACAGATCCTCCTAACACATACAGTACAGTGCAGGTTAGTTTCTTAGAATGAGATGTCAATGGAGTCCTATAGTAGGATCCTAATGCACGTGACCCATAACTGCATTGCATGCAGAATGACAGTTCTTCCTACATGTAATCTGTAGGAATCTGTCGTGCATTACTGGTGATATGCCTATGTTCCGTGGTAGCATTTTTCTTCTCCATTCTGAATGCACAGAAAGTGATAGGAAAGAATATTGAAAGCACATGTATTATATTTTATTATATACCAGTAAGTAATACTGAGTTGTACAAATTTTACATCAATTTCCGATGAAGCATTAAGCCAAGCAACCAAATCCTGATTTTTTCAACATAATTATTACACATTTGAACAATCAGCAATGTTTCAGGGGAAAAATACATCCTGACTAGATTACCTGCACTTTTTCAGCACATAAATAAGGCCACTAAGTAATAAAAGTAATCATAAAAGAACTTCTATTTTACCACAAAACCACAATTTATTAAAGCTCTCAACATTGTTGGATTTTCAGAATACTGAGTGAAGTGACAACAGAAGTCTTTCTCTGAATTTGTTTATGGTTTAACAATTGATTTTGGTTGATTTTCAATGTATCAAACAAAAAAGATGTTAGCTTCAGAGGTAAAAGAAGGAATAATACTTCTTAACACAGTACTGTATCATATACAGTTTTAATTATTTTCAGAATATATTCTTGAGCAAATGAAAACAAAAATCCCACATTAACTGCTCTACTTATAAGAACTTTAAGCAGTGAAAAGAGATTTGTATATTGATATAAATTACCCAGTTTCAGTATTTTTGCAGCTAATGTTCTAAACATTAACAGCCACCTAAAAGAATGACACCAGTTTTACCATTACTTCAGAGGTTATTCCACATCTGTGAATCATTTCTACTAATATCAATTCCAAAGTCATTCACTTTGGTAAATATGGTATCAAAGTTTCATGTGTTAGTAACTTGTAACATACAAAAATACAAAATTTATATGTATGTGTAAGATCTCAATACAATATACCACATTCCTAGCTTCACTGGTTAATTAGTTGTCAAGTAGAAAGCTAAATATAGGTTAATGGCCACCATGTTGTTTTACATAGAAAAGTTCACATAATTTGAAAGAGCTATTACAACACATTTCAGGATTGCACATGGATATGAGACAGTTCCACGTCTATAAACACTATCCATAATGAAAGTTTAAAAGGAAGGTGTTTACTGCACGTTTACATGGTTTTACTGCAAACAAACATGACTTAATATCCATAGAAGGATTTACATTTTTTTAACTGTCTTATCTATGAGTTCTGCATGATACTAACACATATTGACTGGGAAGAGTTAAAATGTTTATTTTTATGACAGTATTAGTAGTGTGTGACACTGAATAATTGTTACTTTACACTCTTACTGTATCATATTGATAATACCATTTAACATTTATGATCACTATTAAGTCCTTTGCTCTGCCCATTAGTAATAGAACACATTACAATTAAAAGGTCACATCTAATGTATTAAAACAAATTTAATTTAGAATATCAATATCCAAAATAAAAAACTGCTGATAGCTGGAAAAAAGACAAAGCAATCTTAAAAAGTTGTCTTTATTATACATGTACAGACCTCCAAATAGTCATCTTTGTACTCAAAAGACAATGTCAATGACATAAAGTGGGAGGAAATTGGGACTAATTCTTATCCAGGTCTAACACACAAAGAAAAGAGAGGAAGAAAGACTGCATAGAAAATTATACTCATTAACTATAATGATAAATTATATTATTTTTATTCAAACTCATGTGAATTTGTAAGCATTTTCAATTCACCCAGCTTACTGCACCAGTAAAAAAGTAGTGCATTCCTAATATAATCTTGCCAACATTACAAAACATTCATTGCTGTTACCATCACTTTCTGAAAATGCACCTGTACACGGAATGAACAATATCAACATTATATACTATAATTTCAAAATCATTGGCTATGTCAAAATTAAATAGAACAAAATAATGTTTATGGCTTAATTTGAAATTTATTTTTAGAAAATTGTAATATGCTCATTCTGTAGTTGGAAGAAATAAATAGATTAAGCTACTGTTAATTTTCTATCATATCATATCTTAAAGAAATAATACTTCTGTCACAAGTCACATAAAATAGCCAAATGCAAAGTTTGCAAGAGATAATTATGTTAGATCATTTAGTAAAAACACAGAAAGAATCCTTTGTAGGAGATGTAAATAGAAAAAGAAAAAAAGATATGCATCATCTGTAATTTTTTAAAATAGCAGGATAAAACAGTTCTCTCAACAGCTACTGGTCTCCCCTGCTAATGAATGAATGAATGAATCTATAGAAGCATAGTATACCAAGGTTAAGGCTACATATTTCTTAATCTTGTACATGCATCTGCTTATGGGTATTTTGCAAAGGTTTAGTCCAAATTCACAAAATATATTTGTTTTCACAAATATTCATGCTAACAACATAAGGCTAAGAGAAAAAATGCAGAAACAAAGCATACATGATAGCATGACACACCAAAATGGTTTTATGATAAGATTTATGAACAGAGTATTATCAATTCATTCACTTCACACTTTATTACTGAGGTTACATCTGAAGGTCTTTGTTATGGTACTGCCATTTCTGTTATCAAGTAAGAAAAAGACTTGGCTAGGTGATAGTATGTACCATTGAAAGCTTAATAATACAGCAGCAAATATGAAATTAACATGAGTAACTTTCTGAAAACTAAAGGCACTATTCATATGAAATGTGGAAGGTTTGGTTATACAGGATTCATTGTAACCCATGAATCTGACAGATACATTCGTTGTGATAACGCAGTTTATTAGAGCTGTAGTTCCATACTGTCTCAATGTAACTCAGCATGTCTGTGTCTAAACTAGCAAACCTAAACTTATTAACAAAAAAAATCAATTGGGACAGTGTAACATTTACCTAAGAATTTCAAAAGGTGAAATAAAATAAATTACGGAGTGCTATAAAGAAATCACATCAACGTAGAACGTAAAGTTTATGTGGTTTGGATAAAAGAGATGCCTAAAACATGTTGCCTGACTACAAAGTACAAAGAGATAGTAAAATGGAGGCTTGATTATCAATGCAACAGGATATGTATGAGTTACATACTTATCACAAATATAACACCACATTCATCTGATTCAAGAGGACTATAATGTGCAATATTAACATTGGGTACATCTGTATAGATAAGGCAACATGTTCTTATTGGAATACAGTGAAACCTCTATCCATCGTTCCCGGAACTATCGTTTTCCCGGATGCATCGTCCGTTTTGTTCGGTCCCGAATACATCCCATATAAAATAATGTTACATTTTCCCGCTTCTATCGTTCCTCGAACTATCGTTTTATCGCATCGATCGTTCAAAAATCTTAGTCCCGGCCAACAATTTTCCCGCAATGATCGTTTCTGAGAAATTAAAATGCTGGGTTTTGAGATAAATTAATACCGAAAGACGCACAATGTTTTTGGAATAAACAGTAGCGGTAACCTGTTATGTCGCCCAACCAGCACATTCTTTTGGAATGAGGGTCAGCGGTGCAGGGGTGATATTGGAGTGAATGGCGGTGCTCATTGTCAGAAATTTTACGATTTTAATTAGGGTGCACTCATATTTCGTTCCAGCGATGCCAGATGGCATGTGCAGTGTGAATTTCTTCACAAATGCTTTTATTACAAGGACAAAGGAAAGGCGAAAGTGCTGCTGTGGATGTGGAAATAACGGAGCTGTGGCTCGAGAGACTGCCAACACTGCTGGAGGGATATGAGCCGCGGGACATTTATAATGCGGATGAGACCGGACTTTTCTACAACGCCCTCCCGGATAGGACTCTGGCATTGAAAGGTGAATCTTGCCACGGGGGAATACGTGCAAAACACCGAATTACTGTTCTTCTGTGTGTTAACAGTGACGGTAGTGACAAACGGGTTCCGATTGTAGTTGGAAAATCACGAAAACCGCGTTGTTTCAAAAACATGAAAAAACTTCCGGTGAAATATCACGCCAACAAAAAGGCTTGGATGACAACAGACATCTTTACGGCGTTTTTAAGTTCTCTGGATGCCTCCATGGGCGCACAAGGCAGAAAGATTTTGCTGTTTGTTGATAATTGTGCCGCTCATCCGAAGGACACGACATTTCTACGAAATGTGAAAGTCGTGCAGTATCCAGCAAATTGCACGAGCGTCTTGCAACCGCTTGATTTGGGCATCATAAAATCTTTCAAGCAGTTGTATAGAAAGCGCCTTGTGCAAACAGCTGTATGTGCAATGGATGCTGGGAAGGATGTCAACATGAAAATTGACGTGCTACAAGCAATTCATTTCACAGTGGCAGCTTGGCGGCATGTCTCCCAACCAACTGTTCTGAATTGTTTTCACAAAGGTGGCTACGGGTGTGAACTTCGCACAGAAGCAGACTCTAACGTCAGTGTGGATGAGCATGATGGCTTTCACGAAGACTGGAATAGATTTGGCGCCGTGAAAGACGTGGTTAAATTTGGTGACTACGCGGCAGTGGACAGCGAGCTTGCTAAATACATGCGGAGTCGACACGATTGATAAGTTGTGTGACGATCGCGAAGGGGGTGGGAGCGGTGAGGAAGACGACGAATGCGAGCCCGAAGCTGTGCCGAGTTTTGCCGAAGCACACGCTGCATTGGCAAAAGTGAAGTTATGTAAAGCATGTTGCTGAACTAAATAAATTAAACTTACAACTGCTAATTTTGGAAAGAAAGGTAAAATTAAATTATCACAAAATATAAATCACAAAAGTTCGTAGATTTTTGATTCATTGAAACAATAAAGTTAATTTCATCAACAAATTAATTTCCTTCCAAAGCAGACTTACAGCCCTCTACCAAAGTACCACACAGACCTGAAATTATTGTTTTCAGATCACAAACATCCTGAAAAAGTGAGTTTTCCACTCTACTGTTATAGTACTGGAGTGACTGCATCAAAATTAAGTTAAATGTACAACAAAGCAGTAAACAACAAAATGGCTTCTATGACATGAATGTCAGAGTCAGTCCAATACTTTCCTAAAGTAACAATACAAAGAAAGAACAAAAAAATCCCCTCCAGTATTCAAATAAATATACATTAAAAGCATAATATCATAAAAGATACATGTATGTGTGTACATATAACTTACATGTTTCCATGTTTAAACTTTTTAACAAATATTCCCTTTATGAGGAATTGTACAGCTTTTGTTTTTATATATATGAGAAACAACACTCCTCTGCATGTAAAATATATTTAATGAAAATATAGCCTTTCCTGTTGAAAACTGTTCTGCTTGTATGTATACTGTATGCTTACATAATCATTTTTCAGTGATGTGGAACACTGTCTAAGTCTATATTTCCAACATATTTACATCTTTAAAGCAACTATTAGACCTTTCATGTTATCTGTCATTAGTAGAAATGATGCTGATATATATGCAGACACACATATATGTCATGGTACAAATTGGATGGCAGATAACAGGAAAGGTCCCAACTATTTTTATAAAGCAATCAGTATATGAATAACACATACATACATTCACCTGTGCATACACGTATGATGATTCCTAAATTTTGAATTTTCAGGTTACAGCATCGTCATGGGATCCAAAACAGATAAACCCCCACAATACATAATGACTTACTGCAAGCTGAAGAGTATGTTGATGATAAATATAAGTCATACATAACTTACAATACAGACCACATAAACATGTCAATACCTTTTTAAGTAAAATTATCTTTGTTACAAAACCAGCCTGATGGACTGGAACATTCAAACAGTTTTTAATATTTTCTTCATCTTGGGTATAACTTCTAATTAAAATATATAACAAAGAAAATATTAAGTACAATGCACAGACAATTAACTATTTTTATGTGTGTTTAGAACTGTAAGTTGCAAAAACTGTTCTTATTGGCCTTGCCATGTCTGTCTAGAATGTGTGAATGGATTTTCACAAAAGTTTATATTGGGGAGTTTCATTAAAATTAGTCAACACATCAAATTTTTGTTAAAATTGAACAACAATAACAGGAACTTTACATAAGTACCTACATGTGTTTCTGTGTGCTGAAGTGACTGGGTGGGGAATCAAAAGGTTATCTTGGTTACAGGGTTACTTTGGTTAAGATGGTTACCTTAGAAATTCCCAGCCACCAAAGACAACGCTGACTTTAGTGATGCAATTTGCAAAGGTCAAATTCTGACAAATTCTTGGTTCATATTTATAATGCCATGTGAACATTTCCTAACTTTCTGAGGTCTATTGGCAATATAAGCATACAATTTAATGCTGGTATTCATAACAATCATTAAGTTATTCGCTGTCTATATTTCACAAAATTATTACAATGGTGAGTCTATCCAGCCTCCTATCTTTCCTCAGGAGTAAAGTGGACAGGGTGTGAAAGTACCAACCATCTTCCTCTAATGCTGAGATTAAGAATGCATGGAGCTATACCACCACTCCCCTGTATGTCTAGGTCATGGTGCTTAGTTAAGCACCAGGGACAAGTTTACTTAAAAACTAAAATTCCCCATATCTAACCACCATTCCATGGAAGCACATATAACATACAACGGTTAGGCTCTGCCCAATCTAGATTCATCACACCACATAGTTCAGCCGAGTGGTTGGCCCTCCTGCTTCATATACGGGAGGTCCTCAGTTCAAATACTGAAGAGAGGCTATCCTGACTGAGGTTTTCCGTGTGCTTTCTCAGTCCCTCCATGCAAATGCCAGGAAAGTACCACAAATTAGGTCTTGACCGTTTCCTTCCAAATCATCTTCAATTTATGACTCATGAATCAACCAATCATTTGAGACTATATAATCTCAGCTACTAACAGTGTTATTAATTAAACCATAAATAATGAGTTGTGATGTCTTCAGCAGTAGGATGACATAGGCTCATACCAAATAAGCCCCTATTACCTATTCACTGAAATTGTCTGAAATCCTTTGCTGAATCTGTGACACCTGCACTTGCAAATGCACCTTCTTTTCTTTCTCACCAATCAGGATCCATATATAATATATTATAATGAATTAAAATTAAATCAATAGGTAAAACAGAAATCACTAGCCTTGTACTTGAACATTTACTATTGCAAAACAAATTTATTTTCTAAGGAATAAGTGTAAGGATATTATGCCATTAAATAATGCTTTTTCTTTTCAGCATGGACATGTCTAGTATTTATGAATTTATTTGAAATCCACAAGAAAATCAAGAAATATCTGAAAATTTTGTTGTTCTCTATATACCTAATAATAATAAAGATTTCAGAAAGTGTTTTATTTTAGTAACAAACTACTCTTGTACAAGTCCCAACTTCAGAATCACATGTGAAAGTAAAATTAAAACAAAATTAGTCTATTGTGATCTAAGTTGTAATGTCATGCAGACTTGTAGCTGGGTACCAACATTCTTCAGAGACCTTGGTACCCACCTACAAGTTTATATGGTATCACAACCCAGAAGACAGCACATATATCTTCACTGTCATGAGGACATCAAATCTCAAAATGAAATGTGCTAAACATCAAAGTCATATTCAGTACTACGCTCGATTATAAGGCGCACTCTGTTATTTGTTCATGAAGCCTGGTAGTTAAAACTAGTGTATCAAAGTCTGTAAAATAAAGTGTCCAGTAAGAAATGACAAATGTAATACTGGAGAAAATGTTTGAAATTGCTGATACTGTGACTAGTTAATATTTTACCTGCAGTGATCCTTTACATATAGAACAACTACGCAACAAAGCCAACTAATACCTTAATCCACCCGCACATTGTCTTTGGTAAAATCTTAGGATGATGTCTTCAGGCGCCTATTAATGACATCTAAACAAGAATGAAAAATTCAATACACAACCCATTTGTTACTGTTAACTGGCCTAGACAAAAACATAACAATGTGAAGAAAAATAGGAATTTAGTAACAATTTTCCTTGTCCTGCAAGTGAATTTTTTCCCTTCAACATAATACTTATTAACTTGCAAGTGTTGGTGGGTGAAAGCAATATACAGGAGCATTTAACACATCTTATATTCAAGGAGAAGGCAACTTTGGTCTGTTTTTAAGATCTATTCTGACTTTCATCTGAGGTGTAGGGGATCTGAACCATTCAGCTGATTCTGGCTGATAAATGGAATGGGCAGCACTGAGGTACTACATTCAGTTACTTATTTATTCCAATGTACTAGATACTTTTCAAATTTAATTCTCTACACCACTTACAATGTTTAAATCTTTAGTGTCCTTGGAAATTTTATGTAATGGTCATGCCATAGATTTTAGTGTGAAATAATGATAAACGAATGTGATTATCGTATAAGAAAATATACTTCCTTTCCAAGGCTACCTTCATGACTAACTAAATATCACAATTTCTGGCTACATACCAGTTTTTATTTTATCCCTAAAATTACTTAAGGTTTCATACACATTTCAGCAGTTATCTTGACATTCAAAATAACTCACCATCATACAAGAAATTTGAACAACATGAAGACAGCCAAGTCATTACAAGTTTTAATAGCACTCTTTCTTCAAAACATGATAAAATATAAGTAACAAACAAGTCACACCTCATATTTATTTTAGACCATAAGCACTGTTCATTTTAAAATTTTGGAATACAATATAAAAATTATTTAAATTTAAGTCATATGTGCTGTAAGAATGAAAGTAGTTTAGGCCCTTGATATCCGCTGTTAACCAATTTCTTAAATGTGATGAATAAGATAAGGAAACTTCTAATAATAAGCAATATACTTGCATGTTATAACAATTCATTCTGTGGAAGTCATAAACTGAGCAATATACTCCAGTGTCTGGGTAAACAAACACCAATAAGGACTGGCCTTGAAACTGTCAAAAATTCTCATATAGCCTTCTGTCTTATCAAAGTGGAATTCACATGATCTTTATCTTTCTAGTGAGAAATCCAAATCAATTAACTCGATTTTTAGCAAAACATTTTTTCTGGTTCTCAAACACTGCCAAATCTATACATTTTATCACCTTCAATTCTTTTTACTGTTTGTTGTAGGCAGCATTCCATGTTCACATCCAATAATCACTGCTCATTTGCCATTTTCAAAATCATTAATAATTTTCAATTATGTCTCCAAAGTGGAAATACTCTTGGCCTCTTAGTGTTCTCATTTGACTTCACAGACTTGGACAATGAATTTGTTGCATTAATAAAATAAATAAGACACAAAACTGGTTTCATAACCAATCACTTATGAATGTTTCCAGTAGACTGATGCCGCTGAACAATATAAGTGACATATGTGATATGTAAGCAATGATGACAGCTACGAGAACAAAAGCAGATATGGAAATAATGCAGCTAAACAGTGGACGATATATATGTGAAACAATGGATTATTTAAGTCTACAGGTATTGAAGGCCCACAGTATGTATAAAAAAATCTAAAAAAATAAAAAACCTAAAATGATGCCAGACAGATAAATGAGTAAATCCTATTTTTGGGTGATCACCTAACACTACATACTGGTACAGTGCAAACATACATGTAATTAATAGGACATTTTATGACTGAGATATATTCCAATTAAAATGTTGGAGAACTAATTTTGATCACACAATGTGGCATTATTAATGTATGAATGTAAAATGAATGGATCAAAATCTAACCTGACTATTCAAATAAATTTATAGAAAATCTCAGAAGCTAACATAGTCAGGTGAAATCCTTCTCAAGGAAACATGGAGTGCATCTTCCAATGAGGCAAGAACACGGGAATTTCTATCATGAGAAAAATATTTCAGGCGGAACTTCTTGGATGGTATTTAACAGTACAACAGTTTTTTTATGACTGACTTAACAATACTAGTAGGTTGTACATGCACAGCCCTCAGAAAAAGTTAATCTGCAAAGAATTTCCCGCCAATCAAGTAGTCTTGAACTGTACACACACATACATACACGCAAAGAAAACCTGGTTATGCAAAATTAATGGTTTAGGATGACATCAGATCACTAAATACTATCTGATTTTAGTAGCTTCACTCACAATGAACTTATTTGGTAAAATCCTCCACAGCAATAATATGTTTATTATAATTATTATTACTGACTGCAAATGGGTTTATACCCAGTGGCAGTGGTGCTACAATAAGACACAACCACAAAACAACACACATCACACAAAATAAAATAATACTCTTAACATTACACAAACTCCTCTCCATTCTTGGCTTAAACTGTAAATAACTGTAGGACGTGCATGTACATCACATTTGGAGAACATGTAACACTATCATAAGACTATGTTCCTTGTCTTGGTTAACCAGCTACCAACTTATATATTATAAATAAAATACAGAAGGGGAATACTTTCTATATATTCTTCCTAGATTCAAGAACTGCACATACCCTCTGTGGTAAAGCATTC